TTTTACTGCCCAAAAAAAAAATTACTTGTGCTACTATTCATTCCTCCCTTCCTCCCTCCCACTGAACCCCCCCCCGGCAGTCACTGCTTTACTGTCTCTATAGCTTTACTTTTTCCAGAATGTCATAAACTTGTAATCATACAGTATGTAGCTTTTTCAGTCTGGTTTCTGTCACTTACCAATATGCATTTCAGACTTCTCCATGCCTTTTCATAGCTTGGTAGCCAAGTTAATTTTATTGCTGAATGATATTCTATTGTGCGGATGTAACAGAGATTAGCCATTTATCTATTGAAGGACATCTGGGTTGATTCAAGTTTTGAGCAATTATGAATAAAGCTGCTATAATAATTTGTGTGATTTTTGCATGGATGTAAGTTCTCATTTGTGCAAATACCCAGGAGTGTGACTGCCGTATCATATGGTAAGACTACATTTAGCTTTTTGTAAGAAACTGCCAAAGTGGCTATACACCATTTTGCCTTTCTACCAGCAGTAAATGAGAGTTCCCATTGCCTCACAACCTTGCTAGCATATGGTGCTGTCAGTGTTTTGCATTGTAGCCATTCTAATAGGTGTATAGTAGTATCTCATTATTGTTTCAACTTGCAATTCCCTAATGGCTTATGATGTGGAGCATATTTTCATATGCCTATTTGCCATCTATGTATTTTTCTTAGGTGAGGGGTCTATTCAGATCTATTGGTTTTTTTGTTTTTTTGAGACACAGTTTCCTCCTTGTTGCCCAGGCTGGAGTGCAATGGTACAATCTTGGCTCGCTGCAACCTCTGCCTCCCGAGTTCAAGCGATTCTCCTGCCTCAGCCTCCCGAGGAGCTGGGATTACAGGCATGTGCCACCACACCCGGCTAATTTTGTATTTTTAGTACAGATGGGGTTTCTCCATGTTGGTCAGGCTGGTCTCGAACTCCTGACCTCAGGTGATCCGCCCACCTCAGCCTCCCAAAGTGGTGGGATTACAGGCGTGAGCCACCACGCCCGGCCTTAAATTGTACACTCTAAATGGGCAAATGATATGGTATGTAAATTATTTTTCAAAAAAGCTGTAATTTTTTGAAAGCACAAGTAGATATCTGGGAGATTCTTTGAAGAAGTCCAATACTTAATGTGAAGTTTTCCACAAGGATAAAAATGAAAGCATCCATCCCCCTGGTGGGAGGCCACAGGCCACAGGTAGCTTGTGGCCCCTCTTAGGCACTTCTCCTATCACCCTCTGCTCCTTCTGCAGCGGCTGACAGAACAGAGTAAACCCCAACCTAGGGCGAGACTCCCAGCTTTGCCACGCCAAGCCGGGCCCCAGGGGAGTCAGTGCGAACCCTAGTCTCCCTGGGATGAGAAGACCTCAGCACTAACCAGGTTTGAGGGTGGCTGTGGGGTTAGGGTGGGTCAGCTATGTGATCCAATCAACCTATGTTCGAATTTGACTGCACTAAAAAAACAAAACAAAACAAAACACCTTTTTTTTTTTTTTTTTTTTTTTTTTTGAGACAGAGTCTCACTCTGTCGCCCAGGCTGGAGTGCAGTGGCCGGATCTCAGCTCACTGCAAGCTCCGCGTCCCGGGTTCCCGCCATTCTCCTGCCTCAGCCTCCCGAGTAGCTGGGACTACAGGCGCCCGCCACCTCGCCCGGCTAGTTTTTTGTATTTTTTTAGTAGAGACAGGGTTTCACCGTGTTAGCCAGGATGCTCTCTATCTCCTGACCTCGTGATCCGCCCGTCTCGGCCTCCCAAAGTGCTGGGATTACAGGCTTGAGCCACCGCGCCCGGCCAAAAAAAGCTTTTTTTTTCCCCCCGCCTCAAACGGAGTCTCTCGCTCTGTTGCCCAGGCTGGAGTGCAGTGGCGCCATTTCGGCTCACTGAAGCCTCCGCCTCCCGGGTTCAAGCGATTCTCCTGCCTCAGCCTCCCGAGTAGTTGGGACTACAGGCGCAGGCCACCACGTCCGGCTAAAAAGAAAAAAAAAATTTTTTTTTTTTGAGGAGTCTCACTATATAGGATCCTCACGTTATCCTGTTTGGATCTGCGTTAAAATATATTCATAACTATATGATCTGTACTCACAGCCACCGCCCCCCAACAACTTAAGCCCGCGAGACTGTGCCACAGACCCGCCCCGGCGTGGCATGGGGACAAAACACGTGAGGGCGCTCGAGGGGCCTGGCTCTCTCGCTTGCTGCTCACCTAAAACCCCGCAGCCTCCTGTCCCCCATCTTGGGGTCCCGCAACCTCGAGTCTCACAACCTTGGGCGCCACAGCCCTGCTCTGCGCGCCGCAGCCTTTCCTCTCGCCAACGCCATCCGAGTGTTGGTGCTGACTGTGCTCACCGCTAGCTCCCAGAGTTCCCCGCGGCCCCGGCACCTGTCGCATTCTCCGGCGCAACGTGGTCGTCATGGCAACGCCGGCCTCGGGTCCCTGATTGGCCGTCGAGTCTGGCGCGCCTTCCCTGCCTCACCTAACCCGGCTGCGGTGCGGAGGCGACGATGGAGGCGCAGCGCAGGCGGGATGAGTTGTTATGGCGACCAGAGTCCCGCCTCTTCAACCCTACATAGGGCCTCCGATTGGTCCGGGCTTCCCCGAAGGCCTCTCCGCGTTCTGGGCGGGGCCAGCCCGGGGCATGACTAGGGAGAAGGCAGGGTGGTGACTCTAAGGGCGAAGGAGAGAACTGCAGCTGTGATCTTGGGAAGGAGGGAAACCCAAAGATGCCAGCACGTGCGGTTGAGGTGAGAAGGGATCTTGCAGAACGCTTCCAGGACCCAGGTTCGAATGCACGCCCTGCCCAGCTGGTCAGCCTCAGTTTCCCCATCTGTCCGTCTGGACAGTGATCCTCCCAGCGTCCGGCGAAGCCCCGCTCTTGGCCCTTGGTCCCTCGGCCTGATCACAAGAGGGTGTCGCGACGGCCGGGGATGGGTCCGGCGTGGGCAGGGACCTCTCCGACCCTCATTGAGGAAAGAGTGGCGGAACCCGAAAACCGGGCCCTGGCGTCCCTCCTGCAGGGTGGGTAGGAGAGCTGGATGGCAGGATTTGGGAAGGGCTTGGGGCGCAGGGGACCCCTGAGCGTGGCGGGGGAGGCAATGCTACCGGAACCATGACTCGGTTGGCTTAGCCCCCTGGACCTCGTCTGCTCCCTGAGGTTGGTCCTTGCTCCGCACACTGGTGCGGCCTGGTACACAGAAGGCGCTTAGTAAACACTTGTGGATGAGAGAAAAAGAGGATTTATTGTCCTTCATTTACAGAAAAGAGAATCAAATGCTGTCCCGTGCTGGGCCCTCTGGCACCGGGCTTCACAAGCACCCAGGCCTGCCAGGAAGAGCAAGTCTGGGGCCGAAGTGCTAAGGGGCAGGGTGTACATTAGTGATGGAGTGGTCAGAGAGAGGCTAGAAGGGCACAACTCCAGCTCTGAAGAAGAGAAAGAGGAGATTGGCTGAGGCTGGGCAAGGGTGGGAGGCATCCCCCTGGGTGGTTTCAGGCAGCCCCTTTGTTTGAAGGCAGTGGGTAGGCAGGCAGACACCGGGCACTAAGGTAGTAATCAGCAGACCAGATGCTCGACAACCCCTAGGCTCAGTTATCAGCCTCAATTTACTGCAAGAGAGAATGAGGCCCCTGGCTCCAAGCTGATAGAGTGCAGAAGCCACAAAAGCCCCTGGGAGCGAGCTGGTTAAGACAGAGCGTGGGGCCAGCTCCACCCAATACCCTCAGCCCCACCCCTGGCCTCCCCAGGTCCTCCTGTATTTGTGCAGGCTACGCCACTGGCCTCAATGCCAACTCCTGAGCATCCTTTAGGACATAGCTGCCTCCTCTAGACAGCCTTCCTGGACCACCCTCAGGCAGAGAGCATCCTCTCTCCCTCTTCTGTGCAACACCAGGCAAGAGCCCCTTTCTGACCCCCTGCTTGGCCCGTCTGGGTCAGATCTACTATTGCACACCCCCACTCTCCTAGGTTGGGTGGGAGAGGGAAGCAATGAGGAGGATCTCTGAGACCCTATGGTAGGCAGAATAATGGCCTCCAAAGATATCCCAGTCCGAATCCCTGGAACTTGTGAATCTTTTACCTGACACCACAGAATGGACTTTGCAGGTGTGATTAAATTAATGATCATGAGATGGGGAGACTATCTTGGATTATCGGGGTAGGTGCCATGTGCTCATAGTGTCCTTTATAAGTGAAAGAGGGAGGCAGGAGGGTCAGAGAGATTTGAAGATGCTGCACTGCTGGCTTTGAAGGAGCCAGGAGCTAAGGAATGCAGCCCTAGAAGCTGGAAAAACTAATGAAATGGATTATCTCTTAGAGCCTCCAGAAAGAACTAGCCCTCCACTTTAGCCCAGGGAAACTGATTGTGGACTTCTGGACTGCAGAACTGCAAGATAGTAAGTGTGTGTTTAGCCAGGCATGGTGGCCCGTGCCTGTAATCCCAGCACTTTGGGAGGCGAGGTGGGTAGATTACTTGAGACCAGGAGTTCAAGACCAGCCTGGCCAACATGGTGAAACCCCGTTTCTATTACAAATACAAAAAGTCGGGCATGGTGGCAGGCGCCTGTAATATCAGCTAATTGGGAGACTGAGGCAGGGGAATCGTTTGAACCCAGGAGGCAGAGGTTGCAGTGAACCGAGGTTGCGCCACTGCACTCCAGCCTGGGCTACAGAGCAAGACTCTGTCTCAGAAAAAATTAATTAATTAATTAATTAATTAAGGCTGGCCGCGGTGGCTCAGACCTGTAATCCCAGCACTTTGGGAGGGCGAGGTGGGCAAATCACAAGGTCGGGAGTTTGAGACCAGCCTGACCAACATGGTGAAACACTGTCTCTACTAAAAATACAAAAATTAGCCCAGCATGGTGGCGGGCGCCTCTAATCCCAGCTACTTGGGAGGCTAAGGCAGAAGAATTGCTTGAACCCGGGAGGCAGAGGTTGCAGTGAGCCGAGATCACACTGCACTCCAGCTCAGGCGACAGAGCGAGACTCCGTTTCAAAAATAAATAAACGCATGTCCTAAATAATTAAGTTGGGGGTATTTTGTCACAGCAGCCAGAGAAAATGAATAGACCACCAACTCTGCTGCTGTCTGACCAGGTTTCTTCCCTATGAGGCTGGGCTGTGGCTGCCCAGTGACTCAGTACACTGGTCCCAGCCCCTGTGGGTGACATCGGCATGTGGGTGTGGGCAAGAACTGGTCTGGGAAGACACACTATGGACTCCCTAGTATTCCTCCTCTGGTTCCCACCTGGAAGCAGCAGCTTACACCAGAGCTAGCTCTAGACAGTCCTGGGCCCAGGGTGCATTCCCAGGTTGCCTGGGTCACCTGCAATTCTGACACTCCCTTGTTTGGCACCTACTGTATGCTGGTATACTGATGCTGAGAACACACGTAAACAAATCAAACAGGGGCCTCCAGCTATGTAGAAGTCATATTTCTCTTTGGAACATGCTGGGTGCCCATTCCCAAAACACAGCACTCCATCCCAGAGTGAGGTGAGGCAGGATGCGGGGGTGCAGGGCCTGGGAGGAAACAGAAGCCCCAGGTTCAGTCTGCACAGAGGATAGCTGCCATCTTCCCCCATAACTAACCCAGGAAGGCTTCTGGGAGGAAGAGGACAGGAGCCCATACACCACCTTCCCTGCAGGCTGCTGTCTATCGGGAAGGCTCAGGGTTCACCTTGAGGCACAAGAAGGGAGGCTGAGCAGGACAGATGGAGCCCTGGAGGAAGAACTGCAGTAACTGGCACCAAGATATTAATCGGGGGTGATGGGGACTCTGGTGGCCAGGGAAAGGGACTAGGATGCCTCTGGCTAACCAAGGAGGTCCAGGACTCCCACCCCCACCATTGTCTGCCTCTCTGTGACCCCTGGGGTGACCTTGGCCTCTCTGAGCCATGATGAGCTCAGCTGCACCACAGCATATTGGGAGGAACCTAGAAGCCACGACCCAGGGGGAAGCGGAGGCTCCCAGAGCAGTTTGGGACTTAGGATTGCAGCGGGTGCCAGTCTTTAAGACTCAAGCTCCTCCCCAGCCCTGGCCAGAACACCCTGCTCTTTCAAGTCTGAGCCCCAGCCCCAACCAGGTGTGCAGGATGGCAACTCTACACCCAGGATCAGCATGTAGACAGCTGGAGCCCACCCAGGCCCAGGCTGCAGGCAGTAGAAAACAAACTCCACAGATGGACGGAGAGGTGGGACATCCCCTGCAATGGGCCAGTTGGGGAGGCGCTGTAACCAGGGAATAATAGCCGCAACAGCTCTGCCCTCCAAAGATGGCTGCCACCTGTGGCCAGTCCGAAGGATGAGTGCTTCGGCCTCCGGTGCTGGTAAGGACGCTCCCCCGGCACTCTGTGGTGAGGATGAATGGGGGTACTCCCAGCAGGACCCGTTCAGGGATCCGTGTGGGGCTGCCCCTGGCTGGGCACCTGCATGGATGTCAGTCGGGGGTGTCCACAGCTGGACTCCTACAAGGGATGAGGATCAGGGATGCTTCCACCTGCACCCCCACGGAGTAGGGGTTCCGGAGCAGGAGCAAGCGCTAGCAGGACCCTTATGGAGGTCACGGTCAGGGCACCCTCCGCTGTACAGCCACAAGAATGGGGGTCAGGGGTGTTCCCAGAGGATCCTTGTGGGATGACTGCGGTGTCTGCTCCTTGAGAGGATCCAGCCCCACGATGACAATGCCAACGATGCTTGCCCCAGGCCCCAGCCTGGAGAAACAGGTAAGTGCTGTGTGCCCTGCTAAAGGCCCCAGATAACACGGGGGTGCCAGGCCTGGCGGCAGGACTGCAGTGCTGGCGCCCTTACTGTGGGCCCCACGGCCTCCTCGCACCCCGTGGCCACGGGGCCCAGCCGGGGTCAGCCTCTGTGCCCCACGTGCCGTCCGATGGCCTGTCCAGCGTCCCCTCGTTCTCCACCGGGTCCTCGGGGCCCGCCTGGGGCTCCAGCGCATCTTCTGCAGTTCCTGGCAGTGTCGTGTCTAGGTCAGGGCCCGTGGGGCGCGGCGTCCAGGCGGGGGTCCAGGGCACCCCCGGCGTGGGCCTCGGCGGGAACCAAGAGAAGCCTGGCGCTGGGGCGAGCGCCACGAGCTGGGGCCGCGCGGGGCCGGAGGAGGTGGCGTGCGGGATGAGGAAGAAGATGTAGACGCCCGAGACCACGAGGCCCGCGGCCACCAGCACGGCCAGCGCCACGGCCGCGTTGAAGACCCAGGCCGGGCTGGCCAGCGACAGGCGGCGCGACAGCGGGCGGCCCAGGCGCAGAGGCGGCGGGGGCGGCGGGGCGCGGGCCTTGCGCGGCCCGGGCGGGGGCGGCGGCGGCCGCAGGTAGAGGAGGCCGCGGCGCCGGTCGAAGCGCACGGAGCCCTGGCGAGAGGGCGGCGCGCGCGCGTCGCGGGGCAGGAGACCGGACTGCGTGGGCAACGCGGGGAGTCCGCGGCGGGGGGCCAGGCGCGTGGGTGCGCGGCACACTGGACAGGCCACCGCGTTGCCGCCGCCCGCCGTGGCCAACGACAGGCGCGCCAGGCACTCGAGACAGAAGACGTGGCCGCAGTCCAGGCGCTTGGGCAGCTTGAACACGCCGTCGAAAGACGACACGCAGATGAGGCACTCCACCGGGGAGGCGGGGGACAGGATGGGGCTGGAGCCTGGGCTGCCGTCCCCCTCCTCCTCCTCCTCCTGGTCCTCCCCTCTGCTTGGGGAGCTGGGACCCGAGCCCTGGGAGGCCCGGGAATGGCGGAGCCAGAACGGCCGAGGGCAGGGCATCGGGACGGACCTGCGAGGAGAGGAGGTCAGGCAGGGAAGAAGGCGGTGGAGCATGGAGCGGGTTCTGAGACCACCAGGGAATCCAGGGAAGACTGAAGACCGTACTCTAGAGAGGATCCCCCAGTACAGAGCAGGACCATCCCGAGAAGGGTACAGTTACGTCCAGGAGCAGGGAAGAGGCCCGAGGCAGAGACCGGGGATAGGAATGGACCCACGGGGGACCAGTTCCTGCATTGGAAATGTAGACAAGTTGAACACGGAGATGGTGAGGACTCCAGACAGGGATGGAAAAGACCTAACCCAGAGAGGAGCAGAGATATGCAGCCCTCAGGAGCTCGGCGGAGGGAACCTGGAGGACCATACAACACCCCAGTGGAAGAGACATTGACACCTAGGCTGGGAAAGGAACTCTGCTGAGAGAGGAGCCAAGCACAGGAGCCAGGGGGCACCCACAGAGCAATGACAGACCCCAGCCAGCCTGCAGGACCCTTCCTACCTGTGGACGCCTCCTCCCTCTGGCCAGTGGCGTGTCCCTGCCTGTTCTGACCGTTTCCGGCCTACCTGCAGCTGGGCTCAAAAGTACCCTCCCAGGGGGAGGGTGCTCATCTGGGGCCACCCCTCCAGGTCCCAGGTACCCGCTGGACCCGTTTGACTGCCTGCCCCGCCCCCTGGGCCAGCGCCACGAGGATGAACACCAAGCCTGCTTTGGCCAGATGATGGGGGCTGTGGAAGGGTGGGCTTGGGCCCACCCCACCCCACCCTTCAGAACCTGATGAGTCCTCTACCAGAGTCACCAGCCTGTGGCCCTGGGTGGGTCCCAACCTGTCCCCAGCAGCCTGATGACGCTGCATGGACACTGGCGGAAAGGAACCCGTACAACCCATGGAAACCGGGCGTACAGGCCTGGGCTGCAGCCACAACCAGTGTGGCTGGGGAGGTAACCAGGAGTGCAACCTAGCCAGGGTGAAACCAGCCCACACTCCAAGAGGGGGGCAAAGCTAGAGATCTGAAATCAAGTGGCCCCAACAGCTGAACTTTCCTGCTCTCCCCAGGGCTACTTCAAGGTGACAAGCCTCTCAGGATGGTCTTGTGACTACCCAGACCTCACAGGCACCCAAGCCACCCACCCACCCAGACCACAGCAACATCTCACACGCCACGCCCTCAGAAGTTATGGACAACCCCATCTCATTTCCAGTACCTGCTGGGACACTCCAGGCAGCCTGGCCTGCTTCCGATGCCCCACCTGCTAGCCCTGGGGTGCCACGGTTCTGAGTCAGCAATGCTTCCAGGTCCCCACAGGCAAACAGGTCAGGAAGGTGAGCAGCTCCCAAGGCCACCAGGACTATGCCACCCACACCACCCCCAACGAAGACAGACAACGGCAGAGGTGGGTGGGGCTGCCCCAAAGGGCAGACAGGTTTATTGGACAGCAGCCGGGAAAATCAGCGGTTGGACTTGGCCACACGCTCCAGCTCGTCCTTCTTCTTAATGGCATAGGAGTTGGAGGAGCCCTGCAAGGAGACAGACAGTCAGCTCTGAATTCTGAAGGACCCCCACAAACGCCGAACTTAAGACCCCCCAACCAGAGTGCCCTCACCCACCTTGGCAGCATTGATGAGCTCATCTGCCAGGCACTCAGCAATGGTCTTAATGTTCCTGAAGGCAGCCTCACGAGCGCCTGTGCAGAGCAGCCAGATGGCCTAGAGAGCGAGCAGGGGTCAGGCTAAAAGGACAGACTGCGGTCCTCCCAGCCCCGTGGGCCCACCCCCAAGAGATGCTGTCAGCCGTGTCACCCATAGGTCCACTGAGACAAGAGGTAAGGGGAGGTGACATCATGCCAGATTTGCAATCAGACAGAGGGTCACAAGAGCAAGTGTCCAGACACACACACACAGGCTGAAGTTGCATCCCCAACGACAGGAGATTGAGACCCGTCTCAACAGCAAACTGCTAGATGGCCAGGCGCGGTGGCTTGCGCTTGTAACACTTTGGGATGCTGAGGCAGGAAGATCACTTTGGCAGGGAGTTTGAGACCAGCCTGAGCAACGTGGTGAAAGCCCACCTCTACAAACAACAAGAAACCCAACGACAACAAAAAATGCGGCCAGGTGTGGTGGCTCATGCCTGTAATCCTACCACTTTGGGAGGCTGAGGGGACAGGATAATTTGAGACCAGGAGTTCAAGAACACCCTGAGCAACACAGACTCGATCTCAATTATTTCTTAAAAAAAAAAAAAAAAAAAAAAAGAGGCAATATATTTGCTTTTAACTTGGACCCGACTGACAATGAGCCACTATAAAGGGCATTCTGGGCACAGATGCTAAATGCAACAATGACTGATTTGACTATTCTATTACTGTTAAATTCGTTCCTGGGGGTGACGATGCGAGTAGGTCATCTTTGTTAAGACACCTGCTGTGTTCAGGGGAAACACAATCGGAACATCTGCAACTGATTCTCAAACTATCCAAGAAAAAAAAAGAAAAAAGTACACATACACACACAGTGTAAAAATATACACCCAAAGGAAAGACCTCTGCGAAATGTGGTCCAGAAGAGGACCCAGAGCCTGGATCTGCCCCTATGCAGGGTGGGAATCCAGGAAGGCTTCCTAGAGGAAGTGATGCTGCAGGTAAAACATGTAGGCAGAGACAAGCCTTCCTGCCCCAGGCAAGACCCCACCCACTCCCATGGCTGTGTCCACCCTGCCACGTGCGTAAGCCCCAGGCTCACCTGATTCACACGGCGCAGTGGGGACACGTCCACAGCCTGTCGTCTCACAGTCCCGGCACGTCCAATGCGGGTGGAGTCCTCCCGGGGACCACTGTTGATGATGGCGTTCACCAGGACCTGCAGAGGGTTCTAGAGAGAAGGGGGCTATGAGCCTGACATCCAGCCCCATGCATTCCTCCCCCTTCCTCACCCCTAAAACAAGAGTGACCACACCACACAGGGGATACGCCTGGCATACACACTGTGGGGCTTTGGGATGTACTGAGGGCACAGCCTGCCCTCACCAGGCCACAGAGCCCTACCTCGCCTGTGAGCAGGTGTATGATCTCGAAGGCATGCTTGACGATGCGCACAGTCATCAGCTTCTTGCCGTTGTTGCGGCCGTGCATCATCATGGAGTTCGTGAGGCGCTCCACAATGGGACACTGAGCTTTGCGGAAGCGTTTGGCGGCATACCGCCCTGCACTGTGAGGCAGGTACTTGGCATACTTCTCCTTCACTGCTATGTAATCCTGGGGCAGCAGGGAGCAGGAAATGAAGGGAAAATGGTCAGGAGCAGCATGGGTGTTGGCCAGACACCAGAGGAGAAATTGAGTACCCATTTGGGGGTAGTCCAACAGCCGTCTGGGACCCTGGTATGCCTCCCTAGGGGACTTGGATATAAGCCCCATCCACCATGAGGAAAAAAACCCTGAACAGGTGACTTTACCAAGTCGCTAAAAAGTACACTTCCTTTATAATCAAAGAGTGGGAATCTAAGGAGACTAGATTTTGGACCAGATAATTGTTTGGGGGGCTATCCTACACACTATAGGATGTTTAACAGCCATCTGGTATGCCACTGGCAACCCCCTGCCTTTTTTTTTTTTTGAGACGGAGTCTCACACTATTGCCCGGGCTGGTGTGCAGTGGCGCCATCTCAGCTTGCTGCCACCTCTGACTCCGAGATTCAAGCAATTCTCCTGCCTCAACCTCCAGAGTAGCTAGGATTACAGGCGCCTGCCACCATGCCCAGTTAGTTTTTTTTTTTTCGTATTTTTAGTAGAGACAGGGTTTCACTACGTTGGCCAGGCTGGTCTTGAACTCCTGAACTCGCGATCCACCCGTCTCGGCCTCCCAAAGTGTTGGGATTACAGGCGTGAGCCACTGCTCCTGGCCTGTTCTTTCTTTTTTTTCCCCCTCGACTGAGTCTTGCTGTTGCCCAGGCTGGAGTGCAGTGGCGCGATCTTGGCTCACTGCAACTTCTGCCTCCTGGGTTCAAGTGATTCTCCTGCCTCAGTCTCCTGAGTAGCTGGGATTACAGGCACATGCCACCAAGCCCAGCTAAATTTTTTGTACTTTTAATAGAGAAGGGGTTTCACCATTTCGAGCAGGCTGTTCTTGAACTCTTGACCTCAAGCGACCTGCCCGCCTTGGGCTCCCAAAGTGTTGAAATTACAGGCATGAGCCACGGTGCCTGGCACCCTACCGGTCAGTTTTCACACCTAAAAATGTATCCAGACATTGCTAAGTGTCCCCTAAGACAGGGGACCATAAGAGCTACAGTTTTTTTGTTTTTCGTTTGTTTTTTGAGATGGAGTCTGTCTCCCAGGCTGGAGTGTAGTGGTGCAATATTGGCTTACTGAAACCTCCGCCTCCCAGGTTCAAGCGATTCTCCTGCCTCACCTTCCCAAGTAGCTGGGACTATAGGTGCATGCCACCATGCCAGGCTAATTTTTGTATTTTTAGTAGAGATGGGGTTTCGACACATTGGCCAGGCTGGTCTTGAACTCCTGACCCCTGGTGATCTGCCTGCCTCAGCCTCCCAAACTGATGGGATTACAGGCATGAGCCACCGCACCTGGCTGACAACTTTTCTGTTTTTTTGGGCTTTTTTTTTTTTTGAGACAGAGTCTCACTCTATCACCCAGGTTGGAGTGCAATGTCGCCATCTCAGCTCACTGCAACCTCCGCCTCCTGGGTTCAAGCAATTCTCCTGCCTCAGCCTCCCAAATTGCTGGGATTACAGACATGCGTCACCATGCCTGGCCCAGTTTTTTCTGAGATGGAGTTTCATTCTTGTTGGCCAGAATGGAGTGCAATGGCATGATTTCAGCTCACCCCAACCTCCACCTCCCAGGTTGAAGCGATTCACCTGCATCAGCCTTCCAAGTAGCTGGGACAACAGGTGTGCACCACCATGCACGGCTAATTTTTATATTTTTAGTAGAGACAGGGTTTCACTATGTTGACCAGGCTGATCTCAAACTCCTGACCTCAGATGATCTGCCCACCTTGGCCTCCTGAAGTGCTGGGATTACTGCACCTGGCCCAGAACCACAGTTTTAAAACAATCATTTAACAAGCCTTCTTATACTTACATAGCCATCCCCCCATAAAAATCTAGAAAAATGCCAAAAAATTAACCCTGTGTATGTACAGGGGAAGAGAGGAGCTATGTGTATTCAAAGAAGACTGCTGTTGATAGCTCCATTACAAAATGTACCCAAGGCCATTCTATCACTTGCCTCTTAGAATATATACAAACTACCTGTTTCTACAAATACAAGGAATGATGGGAAAAGAACACAAGACACTGAAACTCTCAGTACTATTTCATAGTCTGGCTGCAAGAAAAAAAAACTCACAGTCTGGTGAAGGGCATTCAGGCAGGGCTTTCATTATACAGCAAAAAATTGCACACACCAAATTCCCCAGCAAGGGTTTGGCCCAACAGTGGAGCCTTGCACAGGTGTTTAAAATACAGTGAACTCCTGTTGATGTTTATTTCCCTAGTGGAACAGGCACCTAACAAATGTTTAGTAGATCAAGGAGTTTGAGGCCAGCCTGGCCAACATGGTGAAACCCTGTCTCTACTAAAAATACAAAAATTAGCTGGGCGTGGTGGCATGCACCTGTAGTTCCAGCTACTAGGGAGGCTGAGGCAGGAAAATCACCTGAACCTAGGAGGCAGAGGTTGCAGTGAGCCGAGATCATGCCACTGCACTCCAGCCTGGGTGAGAGAGCAAGACTCCATCTCAAAAAAAAAAAAAAAAAAAAAAGTAACAGAGACCCAATGTGGCCCACGAAGTCTAAAACACTTACTATCTGGGCCTATAATGAAAATGTTTGTGGGCTGGGCGCGGTGGCTCATGCCTATAACCCCAGTATGTTGGGAGGCTGAGGCAGGAAAGTCACTTGACCTCTGGGAGGCAGAGGTTGCTGTGAGCAGAGATCGCACCACTGCACTCCAGCCTGGGAGACAGAGTGAGACTCTTATCTCACAAATAAATAAATAAGGCCAGGCGTGGCGGCTCATGCCTATAATCCCAGCACTTTGGGAGGCTGAGGCGGGTCGATCACCTGAGGTCAGGAGTTCAAGACCAGCCTGGCTAACAGAAACCCCTCTATAATAAAAATACAAAAATTAGGTCGGGCGCAGTGGCTCATGCCTGTAATCCCAGCACTTTGGGAGGCTGAGGCGGGCGGATCACCTGAGGTCAGGAGTTAAGAGGTCAGCCTGACCAGTATGATGAAACCCCGTCTCTACTAAAAATACAAAAATTAGCTGGGCATGGTGGCATGTGCCTGTAATCCCAGCTACTCGGGACAGCAGAATTTTGTATTAAGTTTTGCAACCGGGAAGTGTGAGCTGTCTTACTTTGTTCCTACTCCATACAGTTTTACACATACCCTTTTTCTCCCCTCCCCACCAAGGCAGGAGAATCGCATGAACCCAGGAGGCAGAGGTTGCAGTGAGCCAAGACTGCACCACTGCACTCCAGCCTGGGCAACAAGAGTGAAACTGTCTCAAAAAAACAAAAAGCTGGACATGGTGGCAGGCACCTGTAATCACAGCTACTCGGGAGGCTGAGGCAGGAGAATCACTTGAACCTGGGAGCCGGAGGCTGCAGTGGGCCGAGATTGTGCCACTGCACTCCAGACTGGGCGACAAGAACGAACTTCTGTCTCAATAAATAAATAAATAGGGGCCGGGCGCGGTGGCTCAAGCCTGTAATCCCAGCACTTTGGGAGGCCGAGACGGGCGGATCATGAGGTCAGGAGATCGAGACCATCCTGGCTAACACGGTGAAACCCTGTCTCTACTAAAAATACAAGAAAATTAGCCGGGCGAGGTGGCGGGCACCTGTAGTCCCAGCTACTTGGGAGGCTGAGGCAGGAGAATGGCGTGAACCCGGGGGGGGCGGAGCTTGCAGTGAGCCGAGATGGCGCCACTGCACTCCAGCCTGGGGCACAGAGCAAGACTCCGTCTCAAAAAAAAAAAAAAAAAAAATAGGCCAGGCGCGGTGGCTCACGCCTGTAATCCCAGCACTTTGGGAGGCCGAGGCGGGCGGATCACAAGGTCAGGAGATCGAGACCACGGTGAAACCCCGTCTCTACTAAAAAATACAAAAAATTAGCCGGGCGCGGTTGTGGGCGCCTGTAGTCCCAGCTACTCGGGAGGCTGAGGCAGGAGAATGGCGTGAACCCGGGAGGCGGAGCTTGCAGTGAGCCGAGATCGCGCCACTGCACTCCAGCCTGGGCGACAGAGCAAGACTCGTCTCAAAAAACAAACAAACAAACAAACAAAAATAAATAAATAAAAATAAATAAATAAATAAATGTTTGTGGACCCCCTGAAATAACCCATGAAGGAAAGATCTACAAGATATTCAGAGTGAAAAACAAGGCTGAATTATCCATTAGGTAAGGTGTCTAAGTCCCCTGACATCTTTACAGACAACAAAAAAGTTTTCATTCTTTCTAAAACAAAAGGTAGCAGATTTGGTGGCATGCACCTGTGGTCCCAGCTAGTTGAAGTCTAAGACAGGAGGATCCCCTGAGCCCAGGTGTATCGAGGCTGCAGTGAACTGTGATCATACCACTGCAGTCCAGCCTGGGTGACAAGAGAGCAATCCTATCTCGAAGATAAAACTTTAATGATTAAAAAAAGAAAAAGAGGAGGAAAGTGAATAAAGTACAACCCAAATTATATTCATCTTTATACCAATGTAGTCACAAAATTTAATTTCAAATACTTTCTTTTAATGGAGGAAGGGCTCACAAAAGTGAAAGTTCCTAAGGCCCACAAAATTCTTAATGATGCCTTGGTGGGGAGGGGAGAAAAAGGGTATGTGTAAAACCGTATGGAGTAGGAACAAAGTAGGACAACTCACACTTCCCAATTGCAAAATGGGGGGGGGAAAAAATCTCTTTAAGAGATGGTATTGGAGGCCGGGTGCGGTGGCTCAAGCCTGTAATCCCAGCACTTTGGGAGGCCGAGGCGGGTGGATCACGAGGTCAGGAGATCGAGACTATCCTGGCTAACATGGTGAAACCCCATCTCTACTAAAAATACAAAAAACTAGCCGGGCGTGGTGGCGGGCGCCTGTAGTCTCAGCTACTTGGGAGGCTGAGGCGGGAGAATGGAGTGAACCCGGGAGGTGGAGCTTGCAGTGAGCTGAGATCACGCCACTGCACTCCAGCCTGGGAGACACAGCGAGACTCCGTCTCAAAAAAAAAAAAAAAAAAAAAAAAAAGAGATGGTATTGGATAACCGGATATTCACATGCAGAAGAATGACACTGGATATTATGTATTTTACTACAAAAACATAACAAAAATACCATATGTGAGAAGGACAGACATATAGACCAATGGAATACAACTGAGAGTCCATAATGAAACCCATACATCTACAGCCAGCTGATTTTTGACAAGTGGCCAAGGCCATTCAATTGGGGGGGAAAAAAATCTCTTTAAGAGATGGTATTGGATAACCGGATATTCACATGCAGAAGAATGACACTGGATATTATGTATTTTACTACAAAAACAGTAACAAAAATACCATATGTGAGATGTGATGCTCCTTCTGGTGAAGGAGTCCTCTCCTGACAAAAGTTGTAGTCATCTCTGAACAGGATGTAAGAGCGGATATGGTAGATGTGGTGGTCAAGGAATCCCTTCTTTACCTGTTATGACCTCTATTCTTGATTTAGTGGCACATCAACAAGTTTGATGTGTTCCTTCCTGGAATAATCTCCGCCCCCAGCCGGGAAGGCCAATCACAAGTTCCCCTCACCTGTAGGGAAATGTCATTGATCTGCACATCATCGGTGCTCCACTTCCCAAAGAGCTTGATGTCTGGGGTCTCTGCCACAGCTGGTGCCGCTGTCTCCCACTCGGTCATCCTGGGACAGGGTGATGACAAGAAAAAAACGTCAGAGCCCAGCTAGCATGGAGCAGAGGCGCAGCCATCCCCAACTCTGAGGCTACCCCAGAGCTGATGAACTGGGGAGTCGCAAAGGACCAAGACAGGCTGTGAACGTGTTTTCAAGCACTAGAAAAATTACTCAGCTCTCAGCAAGAAGCATCTGTCTTTCACCTAGAACCCCTGGGCTCAAGACTTGGCAGCCCACCAGTCAACAGCTGCTGCATTGGGACCAAGGTATAACGGCTCAGCAGATGCCAAATGTCCTTACATTGCATCGGCTGTAAATCAAACCACAACCTCGCCATTCACATGGTCTTTGACCCAAGTTAACATTCTGCCTCGGACTGTTTCCTTGGCCGTGAGGTGGGACCGCTATATGACATCAAGGACCACGGTAGGTACTGTGTGGCACAATCAACCCAAAGGTTTCGATTCTTGACCGACAGTATGAAGGTTCTAGGGGCTGCTATTAAGGAGGGAAAGTTACACAGAGCACAAGAGTGCACTGTGTGCCTAAGAAATAGAAATTTCCTCTCAGAGTACAACTGCATAGTCCAAACCAAGATCCCCAAGCCCCGCTATGCGGAAAAGCTAGAAGCAGCGAAGCACCAGGAAGAAGTCAAGAGTAACTGGTACCGCGCCCGTTTCTTCTACATTTTTTTTTCCAGAGACAGAAGTAAGACCTAATGAGAAAGGCCTACGTCGCGGCGTACTATCCTGGAAAGACCATGAACCGTCCCTAGGATCCCCGGCCCCGCGGCGGTCTCACCTCAGAACACAGCCTGAGCGTCTCTGTCGCTCACGGAAGACCACGCGCCGCCCTGGCACAGACAGGAAGAGGCCGCGCGCAGCGGGCCAACGCTTTTAACTGGGAAGAAAACTTCCGGGTCAGCTGGGGCGACGCTTGCGTAAAAGGCCATCATGTCCCTAAGGACCAATCCGGAGGAAGGATGTAGAGGAACCTTTTGGACTAGAGGGAACGGGTGCAGCCCAAGCGCATGCGCAGTTGCAAAAGCGGCCCTAGAAGCGGGTCTGGCGGATGTTGGCTACCCCATACTTGCCCTGTCTTGTGGGCGCCTGCAGAAGCGCAGAGATTTCCGTGAGGCCAACGCCGCCATGTGTAATAAGTAAAAAAGTCCGGCCCGCGCTCGCTTCTTTGTTCAGCTGCTGACCTTAAATCCCACCTGTCGCGGGAGTAGCCAGTTCAGTTCCCTCTGGCTCCTCTCCGCGGCGACAGCCGCCTCACAGGCACGCGCGTGCTGCGGACCTGGGTTGGCTGAGTGGGGCCCAGTGGTCACCGCCACTCCACAGGTCCGGGTTGCCGCGCGCATGCGCCTGCCCACACGCGGCCCCTCCCCCACCTCCCGACCTGGGAACACCACGCTCGCGAGTCCTGGGTCCCAAGCCTCTGGCGGGGCCTTTTTCCTAGGGGGATCCTTCCTGTCATACCACGCTGGGTTCCCCCACAGCCCCCGCGCCCTTCACGCCTGCTATGCAGTAATCGCGCCCGCGAAAGAGGGGAGACCGCCGGCACGAGGGCCCGGGGTTGCGGCGGCTGGAGCAGCGCTACCCGCTCGGGGTGGAGCACGGAGGTAGCCTACAGGCTACGCGCAGTGTCCGGGAGGAGGGGGTCAGTAGGTCGGGGGCCTTTCGTGTTTGTCCTTGCGTCCTCCACGGCCGGGGAGCCCGCGCGAGGGCTTGCAGCTCCCTGCCCTCAGGGCTAACGTCACGAAGCCCTCGTGTCTGCAGACCTGGCTCTCAGGGGTGGGTGCCTCTTGAACGGGCCGACCTCTCCGAGGGCCAGAAACATAGGTTTTTAGCCAAAGACTGAAAGGAGGGATGGAAGATTAAGCCATGAGATGGAGATTATTCCCGCCAGCAAACAATCCGCTGCCCCCCCTCACTTCTGTCCCTTCCCCCAGCTGCCTGTGAACAGGTAGGCCCTCTGAACAGCTCAGGCCTGGCTGGGCAGACAGCGAACCCTCTCAGAGGGCCTGAGCTATTGCGTGGGATTGAGGACGTGGGTCTTCGACCCGGGGTCCTCATCCGTGCGTGGGGTTGGCACGGTAGTGAGTGCCCCAGCTCACTCTATTCACTTGGCCACCCTGGCAGCCAGTGTGGACAGTATGTCTGCCCTTGACTCCTTCATATCCCTCTGCCTGTCCCAGCTTGTTAGACCTAGTCTCATGAGCAGAACTGGGTTTCCGGAGGTAGCGACCACTGTTGACTGTATGTCTGCCTGCAGCACGCATAGACGTGGCCTTCACGAGGCCAGACTCCAGGACCACCTGGGGCCACCCTCTGATGCCCACCTCTGCCTCCAAGGGGGTATCCCTCCAACTCGGGATCCCAAGGGCCCAGCCACTTGACCCAGGTCCCAGGGCTATGCCTGCCCTCTACTCCCACCCCTGAGGCATGCACATAGCAGATGCCCAGCAGCTGTGTTTCTTCACTGCCTGCCTGTAAAGGCTCTTCTTACCCCAATCCAGGGGCATTTCTGTCTGGCTGCTGAGGACTCCCTACAGTGGGCCCCTTGGACTATGGTCAGTTACAGCTCAGGAAAGGACACATGCCCTGAAGCTGGCCTGGTCAGGGGGGTCAGTCTCTGGTGAGGGGCACAGCCAACTGCCACCACCCAATGGCCTTTACCCCTGCCCTCCATCCTGTGCAGAGTAGCAGCCTCGGGGCTCTCACTGGGGTCTGCGTGGTTGCAGGAGGGGCTAGGTGGGCTCCTCCCTGGTCTTGAGTGAGGGGCATGGGGGAGTGCTGGTTGTAGGGAGGGTGGGAGCAAACAGGCAGCACTCATCAGGATAGGTTCAGCCCACCCCTCTGAACCTGTTTTCCCCTTCAGTGTGGAAAGGAGAATGCAATCTCAGGCAAGGTCAATGTGAACTCTGTGGCCTGGCCACCATGGTCACTTAATAATGGACATCTTTATAGACCTCATGAGAATGACCCACCATGCTGCAGAGGGCAGGTGCCCTCAGGTGTGGGGTGGTGAATACTACAGAGCCAAGACTCATGCACCCGCCTGCCAGGCCCAGGGTGGTCCTGCCTCCCCAGGTCCCCAAGGTGCTAGGGTAAGATGCAGAATATGACCTCATAGGTCTAGGGCTGCTGGTGCTATGTTCTTCAGACTGGATGAGGACCCCAGGGACTCTGCAGAGATCTACCTCACTTCTGGTACATTGTGTCCATCCTGAGTGGCCCCAGACTGGAGTCCTCACTTCTGGGAAGGCACCCTCTGGGCCCTGCTGGGCCACCTGCCCACTCTCCAGGCAGTCACTTTGCCTGTCCACCCTACCAGCCACAGTCCTACTGTCAGCTGATCTTATGTCCTTGTGATGGCTCCTTTTTTTTTGGAGACCGAGTCTTGCTCTGTCACCCAGGCTGGAGTGCAGTGACCCAATCTTGGCTCACTGCAAGCTCTGCCTCCCGGTGTCACACCATTCTCCTGCCTCAGCCTCTTGAGTAGCTGGGACTGCAGGCGCCCGCCACCACGCCCGGCTAATTTTTTTGTATTTTTAGTAGAGACGGGGTTTCACTGTGTTAGCCAGGATGGTCTCGATCTCCTGACCTCGTGATTCTCCCGCCTCGGCCTCCCAAAGTGCTGGGATTACAGGTGTGAGCCACCGCGCCTGGCCATGATGGCTCCTTAATGCCCTTACTGGCACTTTGGTTGTCTGTTGAAGTCACCAACCTGATTATCAACTCGTTTGGAGTGTGCTGGATTCAGTCCACCCAGTTGCCTGACAGAGCCAAGCCTGGCCCTGCCATATCCCAAACCTGATCTTGTGCCCATGGTTGATCCTTCACGGGCTACTTTGGCCCAGCCACTGTCTGCTTCCGTGGGATGCCCACCTATAATGGATTGAACGGCAGCCCCCAAAAAGATAAGTTCATGCCCTAATACCCAGACCCAGTGAATGTGACCTATTGGAAAAAAATCTTTGCAGATGTAAATTAGTCAAGGATCCCAAGACGAGAGCATCCTGGATTAGTGGGGTAGATCCTAAATCCAATGGCAAGTGTCCTTATAAGAGACAGAAGAGGGCCAGGCGCAGTGGATCATGAGGTCAGGAGATCGAGACCATCCTGGCTAACACGGTGAAACCCCATCTCTACTAAAAATACAAATTAGCTGGGCGTGGTGGCGGGCGCTTGTAGTCTCAGCTGCTTGGGAGGCTGAGGCAAGAGAATCACTTGAACCTAGGAGGTGGAGGTTGCAGTGAGCCAAGATTGCACCACTTCACTTCAGCCTGGGTGACAGAATGGGACTCCATCTCACACACACACACACACACACACACACACACACACACACACATTCCATCACACACACACTCTCCATCACACACACACACTCTCCATCACACACACACACTCCATCACACACACACACACACATATTCCATCACACATACATACACACACACACACACACACACACTCTTAAGGAAATCTGGCCAAGTATTCCAGGATGCTTCAGCCACTGGGGTTTGCTTTCATGGCTCACCAACACCTTCTCCCCTCCTGGGAACTGCCAACTTCCATTTCTCCTCTGTTCTTCCAGATCCTACAACCAGGATTCTGTGGTGGGGAGCCAAGATGCCCTGCTGAAGCCTCCATCCCCTGAGGCTGCTTCGCAGTAAGCTGCCCGGGCCCTCAGAAGAGGCCTGAAATGGAGTAGAGGCCCTTTGCTGAGGACAGCATAGAGCCAAGAGGGGGACCTCTGTGGAGGGATGGCCAGTAGCAGGACAACTCTCCAGGGTGCAGGGTCCCAGGCCTGCAGACATAGAATAAGCCCTAGCCCAGGGACCTGTGGGATTGGTAAAGTTAGACCCCTTGGGTGGGTGCCCCACTGGAGCTTCCTCTCCAGGTCCTTGCCTGATTCAGAGTCTCGTTCCTGAAATCGCTCCTGTGTGACCGTTGTCACAAGATGCTTCTCTGGTGCTGCCCCTGCAAGAACCCTGCAGGGTCACTTAGACAACAGGCTTGTGTAGACGTGAAGAAAGCCGGCCGGGCGCGGTGGCTGAAGCCTATAATACCGGCACTTTGGGAGGCTGAGATGGCCGGATCACGAGGTCAGGAGATCGAGACCATCCTGGCTAACACGGTGAAACCCCGTCTCTACTAAAAAATACAAAAAACTAGCCGGAAGAGGTGGCGGGCGCCTGTAGTCCCAGCTACTCGGGAGGCTGAGGCAGGAGAATGGTGTGAACCCGGGAGGCGGAGCTTGCAGTGAGCTGAGATCCGGCCACTGTGCTCCAGCCTGGGCGACAGCGAGACTCTGTCTCAAAAAAAAAAAAAAGAAGAAAGCCTACAGACTGTCACAGACCCCATAGCCAGTCCCCTCCAGACAAGTCCCCCACACCTATGCCTGCCAAATGGTAAGGCCTTTGACTGGTGCTTCAAACTCCACTCCAGGGCTGCCAGTCAACCCATGCCAGCCCTGCAGGGACAAGGCCTTTGTGTGGTGGCCAGGCCTGTGGTACCACCAGATGCTTCACTCCAGAGGGAGGCCCTTTCTGTGCCTGGGAGTGGGAAGTTCTTCCACGTGGGCTCAAGACTCCTCCAGTAGCAGTGCACCCACAGGTGTGAGAAATCCTACTTGGGTCAGGCCAGGTGCAGTGGCTCACACCTGTAATCCCAGCACTTTGGGAGGCCGAGGCGGGTGGATCACGAGGTCAGGAATTCAATACCAGCCTGGCCAAGATGGTGAAACCCCATCTCTACTAAAAATACAAAAATTAGCCAGGCGTAGTTGTGGGCACCTATAATCCCAGCTACTCGGGAGGCTGAGGCAGAGAACTGCTTGAACCTGGGAGGCAGAAGTTGCAGTGAGCTGAGATCGCGGCCACTGCACTCCAGCCTGGGCAACAGAGTGAGACTCTGTCTCAAAAAAAAAAAAAGAAATCTTACTTCTGTCCCAATTGGGGCCAGTGGCCGAACCTGTCACATATCTGCACTCCTTTATCTGTGACAATTGTCAAGGCTTTCCTGTGCAACTCTCTTCAGCCACCGAGGGACCCACAAGGCGGGCAGCCCTCCAAGTGCCCTTCAGCCTCCTGCTCGCCCTCAATGAGCTTGGTGAGCCCTGAGTTTTGTACTTGGGCAGGGAGCTAGACCTCTTGACAAGGCTTTCCATGTCCAGACACCCAAAGGATGGAGAAAGGGAGTGGGACAGTCCCAGCATCCCTGAAGCAGATGCGGTGGCGGCAGAAAGGTAGGGCAAATTGGGTCGTATATATGTGCTGGACTGGCCAACAAAATTAGATGTCCCTATGGAGGGCAGGAGCCACACAACAGATG